CTGTCTCCTTGATATTGCACCCGGAGAGACCCTGCCTCAGGCTCCGCTGGGTCCTCCGTGGCTCCCAGCCAGCCTTGGAAGTAAGTCTGTGGTGATCAGAACAGCCCTTCAGAGTTGTCTTCTGTTGTCCACAGCTTTATTCTTCTTTCTCTGTGGCAGGACCAGCTACCTCAAAAGAGAAGGCGCAAGAGAAACCAAGGCCCTCACTTTCTGGGAGTGGAGTGAAGGACTGGGGATTCCTGAACATACCCAGACACCCCCAGGAAGATCTGAACCACCTCGACACAAGGCTGAGAGCACTGAGTGACACGTGGGCAGGCACCATGGTCCCCAGTAATGGAAGGGCTCAGCGCCATCCCTTTGGCATGTTTATGTCCTTTAAAATAGTACATTAAAAATCATACTTTGTGTTTTTCTGACAGAAGCACTTTTCTCTTAAGTAGTCTTTCAGAATAAATCAAGTTTTTTATACATTTCTTATTTGTCTTTTGAATTGCCTGAGCCAGAAATAACCAAGTATCTTAGTTATTTCTACCATGACTAGGGTACTTTATAAAAGAAAGTGTTTCAGCCAAGAGGTGGTGGCGCACGCCTTTAACCCCAGCACTCAGGAGACAGAGCCAGGCGGATTTCTGCGAGTTCAAGGCCAGCCTGGGCTACAGAGTGAGTTCTAGGACAGGCTCCAAAGCTACACAGAGAAACCCTGTCTCAAAAAAACAAAATATGTGTATGGGATTATGGGGACCATTCTCATTCCAACCACCAAAATCAGAAAAGCCCCTGAATGGCACAAACCAGAGGTGAATTATACTCCCCACCAGAGAAGGGACAAGATCAAGTCCCCCTTGTTCTTGGTCTGATGGACAGCCTCTACCTATCTGTAGCCTAGTGGCGGGTCTCTGGGGGTATTTCTTTGTTAAGAAAAAGAACAACTTGCCGTTCTTCAAATACAGTGCGGGGAAGGGAGACCAGAAGGAGTTTTGAAAGGAGAGCACTCAGGTGACCAGAACCAGGTTTCAGTGAGTCTGACTCCGAGGGAAACAGTGAATGAAAAGAAGTGAACATGTGCTGGGACCCTGACAGTTCTAACAGTCCGGCTTGTGCCTACCTACAGCCTTCATTCAGTGGGAAAAAACTGTGAAGGGAAGTGTTTCTAGCTTCAAGCTAAATACTGGCTTCTGAAGTATCAACAAAGAAGGAACACGAAAGCCAGAATCTGGGACATGAAATAGGATCCGACCTGCCTACTCCCATTTAATAAATGCCTGCATGTCCTATTGAGTTGTGGCAGGCAGTTTTGTTTTGTTTTTTTGTTTATCGAGACAGGGTTTCTCTGTGTAGCTTTGCGCCTGTCCTGGAACTCACTCTGTAGACCAGGCTGGCCTCAGACTCACAGAGATCCGCCTGGCTCTGCCTCCCAAGTGCTGGGATTAAAGGCGTGCGCCACCACCACCCGGCTTGTGGCAGGCAGTTTTAAGGGCTTTACAGTGATGGCTTATTAATTCCCCATAATGACCAGAAGAAACCCGTCGACTTTGTTGGCTCTCAGGAGTAGATCAGGAAGTGTCTTCAGTGTGGAAGATGAGGAGTGTTGGGTCCAGTGATGGGATGATACATGTTGGCTCTCTGGTGATGAGCTATCAGAGAACATGGAGGTGCCCAGGAGTCAATACCAGGTGCCTGCAGCTAGGAGGCTTAGGACATGCTCATTCCTGCATAAGGCAGGCAGACATGGAGCCTCAGCAGTTTCTTGTGTGTCACCTGGAGGTGCTAAGGGGGAACCCTGTTGTAGAGACTGCTGCTGTGCACACTCCCTGGCTTGTACCTGGCCAGCATCACTAGTCTCCAGTCAAGTGTCCTTCTACCCTCCTTATAAAGTACCACTGGTGGCATTCCCCACCTAGGTAATACAGAGTAATCCCATTTCAAGGTTATTGATCAGTTCTATAAAGGCCCTCTCCACACGTGCTTCAGATACAAACTCCTGAGGCTCTCCCTTCAGACAACTTTGGGCGGCTGTTTCCACCTGCTGCAAAATCCCAGGTGACTAGCTGTGCCCATCCACCAGGGCAGCAATGTTCACTGCAAAGAGAGCAGGGCTCTCACCTGTGGGTGTGAGGGCAATGCACGAAGCTCTAGTACCTCAGCCAGTGGTGTGGGGTGTACTCCATTCTGACCAAGGGGCAGATGGATACAAGTCTTAAAATCTCCACATTTGGCCGGGCGGTGGTGGCGCACGCCTTTAATCCCAGCACTCGGGAGGCAGAGCCAGGCGGATCGCTGTGAGTTCGAGGCCAGCCTGGGCTACCAAGTGAGTTCCAGGAAAGGCGCAAAGCTACACAGAGAAACCCTGTCTCAAAAAACCAAAAAAAAAAAAAAAAAAAAAAAAAAAAAATCTCCACATTTGGACAGCTGAGGCAGGAGGAATGCCATGAGTCCAAGACCAGCCTGAGCAACAGAGTAAGACCTTGATCAAAATCCCAACCAAGAAAACAACCATTCCTGCTCTTCCCAGAAGTCGCCTTGGGCGGACACACTTGGGTGGACACACTTGGGAGGAAAAGGCGGATACCTGCTCTGTAGTGCTTTCTCACTCGCTCACTCTGGGCTTGGATTGGAATCAAGGTCAGAGCTGCCCTATGCATCCTAAAACAAACAGGATGCCTTGTCTTCCCTGCAGCGTGGCCATTTTCCAAAGTCTGGCTTCATGTTACCTGCCCTGCTTTGTCCTAACTTGTCAACTCACTTAAAAAACAAAAAACAGCCGGGCGGTGGTGGCGCACGCCTTTAATCCCAGCACTCGGGAGGCAGAGCCAGGCGGATCTCTGTGAGTTTGAGGCCAGTCTGGGCTACCGAGTGAGTTCCAGGAGAGGCGCAAAGCTACACAGAGAAACCCTGTCTCAAAAAACCAAAAAAACCCCAACAACAACAACAACAAAAAAAACCCCAAAAACCAAGCAAACAAAATGCATTAAAAAGCAATTTTATTGTGTTGTGTGAATTTTTGTAAGGCAGCTGTAGGTAATTGGGGGGTTATAGATTATACCAGATCGTTTATAATAGAGAGGTGCACGGTGGAACGTGCCTTTACTGACCTATACCTCCCATCTGCTAATGGGCTCAGACCCTCCAGCATCTAAGATCCAGATTTGGGGTGGGGCACTGCTGCTGGAGGTCTTCCAAAGCTCTCCAAGTGACCTTAAGGCAATCAGGGCTGAGAGCAGCCAACCTAGGGTTATCTCATAGCTAAGCAGGACTTAGCCTGGAAGCGGGGCCCTGCAGGTGACCAGATTTTCTGCTTTCAATCTTTTGTCCTGTCTGAACCATTCTGTCATAGGCTGGTGGCAACTCACCAACCCCCTTCCCTTGGACTCCTGCCAACAGAGATGCTGAGCAGAGACACCTGTCTTCCTCTGTCTTAACCTAGTTTCTTACAGCGCAGACAGGGTAATGCTTGGGTTGCTGTGTAACTGAATGCAGCCTGTCCTAGTTGGCTTTCTGTTGCTGTGGTAAAACACCGACCAAAAACAACTCGGGAGAGGAAAGGGTTTGCACTTCTTATACCTTATTATAATCCACCGTCAGGACACACAGACCCTGGGAGAAGGCCGCTTACTGGCTTGACCCCTCGGACTCAATCAGCTACGTTTCTTATACTGTTCAGGACTACCTGCTCAGGGTGGCACCATTGGCAAGAGGTTGGGCCCTCCCGTATCAATCATCCATCAAGAAGCACCCCAGATATGCCTGCAGGTCAGTCTGATGGAGAAAATTCCCCAACTGGCATTCCCGCTTCCAAGATGCCTCAAGCTTGTGTTGACAAACTAAACCAGCACACTGTCCTCCGAGCACAACAGCCACATCAGAGCAGCTGTAACACCCAAAAGAGATCCTCAAGATCAGGCCTGTTGCCAGTCCTTCACAGGGGGGCGTCTAACGACCCTCCCCTGAGATTCTATAAAGCCTTCCCAGCTATGTGGAATTCTGCCCCAGCAGCATCTGGTCTCCTGGTCTGGTCTTGGAGGTGAGAGAGTGTATAGAGTGTAAAAGGTTAGCTGCTGGGGGCCGGGTAGGGGAAGAATAGAGGACCTTCCTCCACACAGCTGTAGGGAGGTCATCAACCATCCTGGAGGGGGACTTTTGATGATGTAGCTGTTTGGGGATCACTCACACTTCACTAAGTAACATGAATAAGCTCATTGGTTTGCCAGGTCGGACTTTTGTGTAAGCCTTGCTTTGGTCTGTCACTGGTGCCGTTTGGGGTGAGTAGGAAAAGGTCACACAATTGCTACATTGTACTTCCCCTTGTTGGCCTCAAGAGGGCACTGTTGAGCAGATGTCTCACTAAAAGAGGACTGAGGAACTTGGCATGATGTGAGAAACAAGGTGAAATCTTGGTGTAAATGTGGCCTGGTACCAAAGAAATGACTGTCCAAACTTAACAGGGAAATAAATATATCTTCTGAAATTCATTTAATGGCCAAAGAAGTCCTAAGTTTCTTTTATTATGCGTTATATTGGACTTACATGCAGGTTGTAAGTCTGAACTCAATACAATTTTTGTTTGAGAAAGGACAGCCCAGAATGGCCCTAAACTCTCTTGTATTGCCAAGGGTGACCTTGAACCTCTGATCCTTCTACCTCCACCTCAGTCCTGGGATTATAGGCATACACCATCATGCCCAGTTGACATGATACTAAGGTCAAACCCCAGGCCTCATACATGCTAGGGACTCACTGGATCCACTGAGCCACATCCCCAGACCCCCGAACAAAATGATACATGACAAGAGACAGTTGAGCATTTTTTTTTTATTTTTTTTTTTTTTTTTTTTAAGGTTTATTTATTATGTATACAGTGTTCTGCCTGCATGCCAGAAGAGGGCACCAGATCTCATTACAGATGGTTGGGAGCCACCATGTGGTTGCTGGGAATTGAACTCAGGACCTCTGGAAGAACAGCCAGTGCTCTTAACCACTGAGCCATCTCTCCAGCCCCCCAGTTGAGCATTTTATCCATGTTTCGCCTACAGTGTGATGCTCTCATGAAGTGTTTTAATAAATATTATTAAGGCTTCAGGTAACTACTGTTTGGAAGGATTACTGTCCAGCACTGAGGTTTACAATCAGGTCTGTAGCCATAAACAGTCACTCGCTTATGGTGAGCGATACAAATATTAGCTTGTCCCAGGTTTGCTTTCTCTCTCCATTCAATGTATATTCATTCCTGTCTTTTCCCTCTACCTATGCCTGTTATCAATTTTGGTAGTTGCAGAAAAGAAAATTGACCAGAGTGGCAGAATATTTCCTCCTTCTGGAAAGCTCTCATGAATCAGCGATGCAACTTCCAAATAAATCTGAGCAAAGAAGCTATCAGCTCAGTAACAGCAAGAACAGATGCAGACTGCCTTGGAAACTCTGGGCAGGGAAATGATGGTTTTCATATTTCACATGCCTGTGTGGCATTCCTAACCCAGAGAGGACATAACACACCTGCCATCTACAAAGAAGCGGGCTGAGAGCAACCTCACCCAAAGTGCCCATGAAGGCTTTCCACGTGGAACCCTTTTGTCACCGCTTCCGACAGGTGTTACTAAAGGTGGCAAGGATATTGTAACGTGCCTCTAGGTCATCTGGGAAGACCCTGCGGCCAACTGAGCAGGCTGTCCCGCTTGTCAACAGACTCCACACTCACCCACAAGTTAAACTAGTGGCACATGTTCCCACATGCCTGTGGACTGTCCACCATGAAGAGGCCTGACGTACTTTCTTGCAAGAAGAGAAACAGATGCTGCCAGTCTGTCTGTGCTGATAGACTCCAGAGGTGCTAGATGGACTCCAGAATCCAGTCACTGTTGGAAAGATGGGTAACAGACAAGTCCCGGGGAGGGCCTCGGCCCTGGTCTTCTTGGAGAGAGCCCTGCTCCTGGAAGTCCTCCTCGTCATCGAAGAAGCCATTCTCCAATGCATAGGTGCAGTCCAGGCTGGAGGCTGCCTGGCACGCTCCCTTGTACTCCTGAATGGACTCATAGAGGCTGTAGAGTTGGCAGAGCAAGGACATGTCGAGCTGTCGGAGGCCGACCTTGAGGAAAGGGGGGGGGGGGGTAAAAGCTAAGTCAGTGCTAAAATTGAATTTTAGTTGAATACCCAACTAGAAATCTGCCTGGGGGGCTGGAGAGATGGCTCAGAGGTTAAGAGCACTGACTGCTCTTCCAGAGGTCCTGAGTTCAATTCCCAGCAACCACATGGTGGCTCTCAACCACCTGTAATGAGATCTGGCACCCTCTTCTGGCCTGCAGTCAGACATGCTGTATACATAATAAATAAATAAATCTTTTAAAAAAAGAAAGAAAGAAATCTGCCTGGGCTAGCACATTCCTTCCCTCAGGAAAGCTTAAGGCAGGCAGCATCAATGGGATGCTGTGGAATTCCAATCCAGGTGGACACGTACTTCCACTGTGTCATGCCATACCTCAGACCTGAGTGGGTGAGTCCATACCTGGGGGCAGTGAGCCCAGCCTGAATTTGCCCTGGCGCTCCAGACACACCCAGTGAAGCAACAGCAGGGCATGTTCTGGGCACCTCAGCCGGTTTCATTGTGGATGCCAGGTCCCGGAGACATCACTGCTTCCCACAACCACACTCAGGGAAGACCCACACGTGACTTCCTTGCAACCCTGGCAAGCCCCCACATCTGTTGTTCTCAGGTAGCAGATTACCCCTGGCCAGGGACAGGATCTCACTGGTCAGTGTGGCATGGCACACTTGTAAGCAACCCCATCTGCCTCAGGGTTTTCCAGGCATGGCAGAGTTCAGACACTCTCTCTTCTAGACAGGGCCTAGTGTGATCCCTCCCCCAAGACAATGAACTATGAACTGAAGATGCAGCCTTATACCAACCTGCTGGACATTTCACTAAAACAAGTGGCAGGGGACAAGGAATGTGTGGGAATGGCAGGCAGCAATTGATCATCCTCACCTTCCTCTCTCCCTACTGCCTGCCCTATGGCGAGAAGCAGCCAGGTCCGGAAAAGCCTGGGTTCCATCAAGCCTAAACCCAGGGAGGGGATGGTGCTCAGAACTGCAGGGGAGCCTGCATACCTCAACCTTTAACAGGCCAAGCACCGTGTTAGCGGCTTGAAAAAGCACCCTCTGCTTCCTGCACAGCAGCCACCCAGGTCAGACAAGGGGAAAGCTACCACCAGAATGGCCCAGGGGAGCCGGGCGGTGGTGGCACACGCCTTTAATCCCAGCACTCGGGAGGCAGAGGCAGGCGGATCTCTGTGAGTTCGAGGCCAGCTTGGTCTACAGAACGAGATCCAGGAAAGGCGCAAAGCTACACAGAGGAAACCCTGTCTTGAAAAAAAAAAAGAATGGCCCAGGGAAAGAGAAAGACTCCAGTATGCTAACGTCAGGCTCAAGGAGGATTTCAATCAGATGTAACCTTATTCCACAAAGTCACAATCTCTCCAGCGTCAGCCTGGAGAGCCCAATCCTAGGTCTGGCCACCCCACATGCAAACAGACCTAATGTCACTCTTTCCTAACCACACTAGATATCTGAAGGCAGACCACACCCTCTGGCCTAAAAGAGCAAACAGCCAAGTCAGGCATGGTAGAGCATGGCTGACATCCCAGCACTTGGGAAGCTGAGGCAGGAGGATTGTGAGTTTGAGGCCAGCCTGAGCTACATAGTGATAGCATCGGAAGACAAAACAGCCTGTTGGCTGTTTTCATTGGAATGTTCTGGCCAAATCCTTCCTGTGCATGGCTGGCTCCTATGTGCCAAGATTCTATTGCAGATATGATCACAACCTCCACGGCTCAAGGTTCTGACTAAGTAAGTCAAATACGCCTGTCTGCTCTCAAATTTATCTTTGATAAAGCCACACCTTCCAAGATTCATACCTGTGTTTGCTTAAAGTATCTAAGAAGAGGCTCCTGTGACACATGTCTCCTACCCAGTCACTGCTTCACCATCAAGTGAAAGACACCAAGACTGCTTGCTTCTCATGTCAAGAACAGACCACAGGAAGGCCGAAGGAGCTCTGAGCAGACGGTAATGTTCACCCTCTGGGGACCCACGGGGTGGGCCCAGGGTGAGACAAAAGCCTCAGCTCTGAAACTCTGCTGGATGACAAGGTCATGATCCCATGTCACCCAAGACTCATGGTGCCGGGTTTTTCCAAATGAAGTCTTCCTGGATATCCAAGGACGTGCCCAAGGACGTGCCCAGCACACGGTGGTAAGTGGAGAATCTGAATGGACTTCTCTGCACTGGCACACAGGGATGATTCACAGAGCTGCCCTGTCATTGGGTGTGACACTGGCCTAGAAACACCTGACCCGCCTAGAGATACAGCATGGTTCTGACACACCTGTTACACAGCCAGACGCGTGCCCAGTGCACAGGCAAGGATTTCACCTACATACAGTAGTACATGATCACACCTGCCTCAGCTCCTCAGAACAACTGCTCCAGGCACCAGGCTAACTTCCTCCCACCAGGCAGAATTTTCCTGAAGTTTAAGTTGAGCACACATGCTCACACAAAATCAGGTGGTACGTGTATATGTTGCACACATACTCAGGTCTACACACATAGACATTATTCATTTATTCATTTATTTATTTATTTATTTATTCATTCATTCATTCATTCATTTATTTATTTATTTATTTATTTATTTATTTATTTATTTATTTATTTATTTATTTATTTTGAGACAAGGTCTTTCTATGTCCTGGAACTTGCTATGTAGGTCAGACTGGCCTCAAACTCAGAGATACAGCTGTCTCTGCTTCCAAGTGCTGGGATTAAAGAGATGCACTACCCCACCCAGCCTGAAATAAATATTTGTTTAAAACAAAAAAGCCCTGCAGTTGGGTGCAGTGGTATGTACCTGCAATTCTAACTACTCAGGAGGCTGAGGCAAGATGATCATGACTCACAGGTCAGCCTGGGTAATATATTAAGTCTCAACTGAAGGCCGAAGGCCAGGAGTGGTAGAGCACTCCTGGGGGCGGGGGGGGGGGGGGGGGGGGGGGGGGAGAGGGGGGAGAGGGGCAGGCACATCTGCAAGTTTGAGGCCACACTGGTTTACAAAGCAGGTTCCAGGACAGCCAGGGCTGTTCCAGGTTTCCACAGAGAAACCCTGTCTCGAAAAACCTGAAAACAGAACAAAATACTGGGCTGGAAGACAAACAAACTCTATTACACCCATGCAGGAGAATTGCTATTCCCTCGTGTGATCGTATCTGTAAGATACGTTCTGAAAATGACAAGTGTGGGAGAAGACACAAGTATCGGTGAGGTGGGGTGGGGTGGGGTGGGGTGGGGTGGGGTGGGAGACTCACGAGTCCTTCCGTCACACCCCAACCTCAGGCCTCAAATCTGAAGCAAGGTTAAAACAGAGGTGCGATGGGCCTGGAAGGAGATCCCCTAATCAAGCCAGGAGGGCTCAGTCAGCATTGAGTCCCAGGTCTACAGAGTTATAAAAAACGGGTCAGAGCCTGGAGAGCTAGCCATCACACTGCCCATGTCCTAGGTCCCTCTCATGCCTTCACAACCAGTATGCAGGGCTGAGGGATGACTCCTTAAGAGTCATCTCTTTGCAAGCAGAAAGACCTGCCAAGAGCCCATGTGCAAAAAGCTGGTGTGGTACAGGAGTCAGTAACACAGAATCCTGGAGAGACAGAGAGAGGAGGACCCCTGAGATGGCCGGCCACCCTCGCCTCTTCAGTGAGAGAGCCTGTGTCCAGAACAAAAGCCTGACACTTGAGGACCACCCCCTGAGGCTGCCTATCCTCTAACGTCCACATGGACTCACGTGCAGTGTACCCCCACTCACATGAACAAAACAGCACCTCAGTTTTCCCTTGCATTCTGTAAAGCACTGTTTTAGAGCTTTTAAGGAAATGAAGTTACAGGGCCAAAGGGCAGCTTCAGATTCAATTTCATGGGTATTGTGAAACTGACCTCCAAAACAAAGTGCACCAGCCTCTGCCAGCCAGGCAAGAGAAGCCCCACCGCCAGCCTCCTGTCAAGTCTTTGCTGGTCTTTTAGGTACAGCACAGTCATTTTTACATCAGCAGTTACAAAGGATGCTGAACACTGTAATTTATCTTCTATGGTGTTTATTTACTTCTATCACTAGTAGGATTTTCATTTGCTTTTTGGAGACAGGGCCTCACTGTGTATCTCAGGCTAGCTTCAAACTCGCAGTGATCCTCCTGCCTCCACTTTAGGCTGATGAGATTACAGGGATGAGCCACCAGGCCTGGCTCCAACAGCCTCTTTCCACACTTGCTTTTCAGTACGTGCTTTAATCATCTTCTTCTGTCGACTTGTTCCTGGCTGGAACAGACCGGTTTCCCATAGATTATCCTGTACTATGGAGCTCTGGTCACAGGGGAATAGGTCTGCTCCTCTGATCAAGGACGCCACTTTTCATCCCTTATACAAGACTCAGAATATATAGGACTGCAAGACCAGGCAGCTGTGGCTCTCAGAGCCAATCAAAGACGTTAACAGAGCAAATAAAAATGAACAGGGTCGGGCTGGCAAGATGGCTCAGTGAGTAAGGATGCTTCTTGCCAAGGCTGACGACCTGAGTTAGATCCTTGGGACCCACATGGTAGAAGGAGAGAACTGACTCCTGCAAAGAGTCCTTTGACCTCCACAGGCACAAGAAGACATGTCTGCGCATGACACATACACACACACACACACACACACACACACACACACACACACACACAAACTTAAACGTAAACAAATAATAATAAAATGAAGACGCCTTAGTGAGTTTCTGTTGCTCTGGAAGGCAGGCCTGGACTTCTGTCTCCTGCGTCCTGAGAACAACCATCTTAGTGTTCCGTGTCTGCAGGGACAGGGACCAGCACAGGAAGGAATGAAGCAATGAGTGACCTTTATGGAAACAAGTGTGGGAGGGAGGCACCGTGAAGCCTCAGCTAGCACTGGCATTGGGCATGGATCTGACTGGCTGGCTTCCGGCTCAGTCTGCACGTGTGGTTTCTGTCACAGGATCATGGAAGTCTGGAATCCACAGGGAGCTTCCTC